TAACACTTTGCTTACTGACAGAGCTATATTTTAGGAAGGGCAGAAATTGGCTAGTCTATAAAAATTAAATTATGCCCCTTTCACGGTATCTAGTCAAGAGGAAAAACTCTAATTACAAGATTGCACTGTCAAACAAATGCAAATTTGTATTCTTTATATCCTGGTTTAAAAATTCATACTGGAAGGTTGGGGGGAGGCTCCTATTCTGAAATGAAAATCAATATTTGAAATATTTTTATGGAATGCAATGATAAATAAGCAAAATAAATGTGATTCTCAAGGACGCTGCTTAGAAACACCAGCCCATGAAGAGCAGAGCTGGTGGAGGAGTCATTATTCATACGAACATTTAACCATCAATTAAGAAGGACAAGGAAACCTCTTCCCACAGCCCAGACTTTACTATTCCAGATATGAAACAAAACAGCATCAAGAAATAGCCTCAGCTCCTAATAGGAGCACCTCTCTAAAGAACAGGCAAAGTGTAATTTTAAGTATACCTCGGTGGAAATTAAATTTATGTTCTTCATAATTTCTAAGAGCTGGGTTTGCAGACTAAAGCCAGAGAAGACCCAACTGAAGACCTGGTCCCATCATATTGCTGGTAATGGGGGCTGGAGCAGGCAGGGAAACTGTCTTTCTTTACCGCCTAGTATCAGATGGGGGCTGGAGCAGGCAGGGAAACTGTCTTTCTTTACTGCTTAGTATCAGGGTCCATTAGTTCATTAAAGTTTCTTAGTCTGTTTAAATCCTTGGCGTTTCTATAGCTATTGAAAAATGCCAGACCACTCAATACTCAAAAGTTTGAAACCCTTCCATCTTGACTTTCTGATTCTTTCAGTGTTCACTTTGCGGTCTATCTGCTTGGCCCACCAGATGAAATTAACAGTCTTAAAAACAACAATAAAACAAACAAACAAGCCAATCATCTCAGTCCTTACGATCTTGCTCGAGCTATCTTCCTGGGTGTACATAATGGTACATTTCCCTCTGTCAGATGCTGGCAGGTGACATTGTAGCAAATGCGTTTAGCCAGGGAAGCTCATGTCAAGAGCCACATAGTGTCAGCGGCCTGGTGGACTAGGACCAGACATATAACTTTGTAAAGCTCTTCCTCTGTTTCTTTATAACATAGAAAAGGTAGTCTAGATCAGTGGCTCAATGTGGAGCATGCCAGGGTCTCTAGAAGAGCTTAGACCACAGAGGTACAGAAGGAGCGTCTTCAGGGGGCAGTCAAGTGACGTTCAACAGGACTCCAGGGAGACCCCTATGTGCTCTTAAGTTAGAAACCCTGGGCCTTTTCAGCTCTGGTGCACCAAGAGTCTCAGCACCAATTCAGACTTTGATTCTTAATGGGACCACTTAACAAGCGCTGTTCGCTTTCTGGGGTAAAGGGTGTGAAGTTGACTAAGCAATCGAATCTCAGGCGAGCTGGCTGAATCATAGGAAGTCAGTCATTACGAAGAGAGCGAGCTCACATTATGAAGAGTCTCACATTTCATGAGACACCACAGGCTCGTGCTAAGGGCTGAGCCAGATACCCGGTGCATGCAATGAAAGTTAACTCACGCTGCCACGATTTTATTATATTGCGATCACTTAGCAACCAAAGTTGCTCTCCATCCTTGTTGGCAAAAAAATCGAAGTGACTGGTCTATAACAATTACATGAAATTTAATATGGAGTGCCTTCAGGATATCAATCTGAAGATATTGCCTTCTGTTGAGGAAATAAATAAATAAATAAAAAGTAAACAAGCACTACCAATGGAAACAGCAACCACATTTGTCAGGCTTCCATCAAATGCCTTGAATTCATTTACACCTAGTATACTAACCTACAATGGTTAGTATCAACGTGGCAGAATCTAAAATCATTCAGCAGACAGGGCCTCTGGGTACGGCTGCGGGGAATATCGTTTCATGGGCAGAGTCACCTTAGTCGTGAGCATCCCTGACTGCATCCCTGACTGTGTTCCTGGAGTGTAATAAAGGAGGATAGTGAACACTAGAGCACTGGCAAGTGTTGCTCTGTTCTTGAGTGTGCATGGCATGGCCAGTTCCCTCCAGCTCCTGCTGCTGTGACAGTGGCTGACTGGACTGTGCCGTGAACTACCAGTTAAAAATAAGCTCCCCCCTCGAGTCACTTTTGCCAGCCTACGCTGTTACCGCAACAGAAAGCAGACGAGCAAACACTAAGATATTCCCCATAACCGGTTTCCCCATTGGATTATTAATCGCTTGTTTTTTTCAGACATCAAGATTGAGGCTGCAGCTGTGAACACTTGAGTTTAGTAAGAGTGCTTGCCACACAGGCATTCAGACCCAAATTCAGATCCCAGCACCCACAACAAATAAATAACTAAAAAGAGCTAGTTATGGCCATATTATGCTGACAATCCCAGTGCTATGGGGAACCGAGGCAAGAGGATCTCTGAGGCTTGATGGCTGCCAGACTAGCTCTCCAGTGAGTGACCTTGTCCTAAGGGAAAAAGTGGAACAAGATAGAGATGGATGTCCTCCTGGCTCCCACTTACCCTTTCACAAGTGTGTGCACTCTTGTATAGGTACATGTGTTGTGTATATACACATAGAACACATGTATATGCCACACACATGCTGAGAAATACACATACATGCCTTGAACTTCATTTTTCTTCACACTGAGACCTGTGGCCTATGTCCCTTACCCTGTGGTCACTGACATCTTGTTTGGAGACAAGAAGCAACTTGACTGTGTCACTCGAAAACAACCGGCCTAACCCAGGGACTTCCTTTAGGACCAACTGGAAACTTTCTGTGGGCAATACAGAAGTTATGAGGTGCATTCTACTTTTCTATAGTATGGTCTTCAGGAGAGGATGAAGCAAGATGAAGAATAGCACCTAAAAAGGGAGTGTGTGGTTGCCATCTGGGGGGTATATATAGAAGGCCCCTTCTGAGAATGCTTCGGAGTGACAACTGCTTTTCTCAATCACATTCCGGTGCGTGAAGCACAAGCCCTGGTAAGCAGTGGCCTTGAGGATCCTGAGGGAGTTCTTAAGGCCTGCTATTACCTCCTCCCATCATGTCTGCCTCAAACCTATTTCATGGAAGGGGGCTGCAAATACGTGAAAAGCAACAAACATTAGACTCAGGTAAAATACAGTGCAAAGAATATCACTCATAAAAAATAATTCGCATCCATCTTAGCTGTAGAATCATCATTAATTTTTGTGTTGTTGTACTGTTTTTAATAGCAGGAATACCAGATTCTAAAATCATGCTCACTGGTTTGGGGAGAGAATACATAATTCTTGAGAGCAAGTGTATCTTGGACTTCTCTCACAAGAGCAATCTTGGTACAAAGGGCCCACACTGGAGCCAATAATGTTCTACAAATAACAGCCTATAAAGCCATACACAAAGGGTTCAGGGAGGTGGCTCAGCGGATGAAGTGCTTGCCACTCAAGTGTGAGAACTAGAGTTGGGATCCCAAGCGCACTTGTAAATAAAGGTCAGCCGGGCAAATGAGATGCCTGCTTGAAACCCCAGCTCTAGCAGCCAGAGAATTAGCGGTCTAGTTAGAATTGGTGAGTTCTGGGTTCAAGTAAAAGATTCTGCCTCAATATATAAAATGAAGCATGATCAAGGAAGACATGGATATCAACCTCTTGTTGCCACTCACGCGGAGAAGTATCTGCATAGGCATGAACACCACATACACATAGCATACCAAAAAAAGTGTGGATGTACACCTACATATACTTATGTACCAACAAACGTGAATGTGAATGCACATATATATGATTACCACACATACATAGACATGAGAAAAAATAACACCCCCATACCACAGCCCAGTCTTATGGAGAGTTGGTAAATCAGCTCTCCAAGGAACTAAGACATTAATAAGATACCTTCAAACCCTACCCACGAGGAAACTGCTGTGTCAAGGTGCTGTCTTCAGTGCTAACATCTGAGCATTGTTTTGCCAGAGGGTTAGGTGAATCAATTATTCTAATCACTTCATGGAGCCCTGTGGGCACCTTGTTGGACTAAAAAGAAACAAGGCTCACTCAATGGAACCCATCCCAAGATGGCATTTCCCTCCTTTTCAACTGTCTTTAAATGGAGAAGTCTCTTTTTGACCTTGAAATCAAAGCGATAGCTTCATTTATTTTTTTAACATTCTGGTTCCATCTTGGGGTGAGCTTTTAATTCTAGCTCTGGGGTGGGTCTGATTCCACCTCTCAAAAGACGTATTAGCTAGAGTGATGTCTGTTCCATCTAACTCCCTTCTTCAGCTGCACAATATCCAGAAAATTTGCTCTGATAGCCAATAGCTAAGATACTGGGGGTGGGAGTGGGGGTGTGTAATCCTTCCTGGGGAAGATCTTGGCAATTTGTGCCTGGAATTTGATGCATTGGTTCTAAAATTAAATAAAGATCCTATAGTGTTCTTCAAAGAAATATGGTGTGCCGCTATGACAAAACACATTTTTCAAGTTCTGACCTCTGGGAACTTCGAGTAGCTTCATATTTCAGGCTGACATCGCTCACAGGCTACTATCTAGCTGCTGGAGCTGGAACCAGTTCTCAATGTATTTTGTTTTTTACCATCCTGATCAGCTTTTTAGCCCAGGAAGTAGAAAGGAGAGAGAGAGAGAGAGAGAGAGAGAGAGAGAGAGAGAGAGAGAGAGAGAGCACTACTGATTTACAATGACTTCCCCTCTGGAGTCCCTTGGGGAGAAGCCTTGGTAATTAACTCTAATGAGGTTAAAGTAACTTCCAACTCTTCGGTTTTTTTTTTTTTTTTTTTTTTTTAGAACCAAACTGTATAAAGTAAATCTGTGCTAATCAGTGTGTGTATGTGTGATGTCTGTGGTGTGTGTGTGTGTGTGTGTGCACAAGCTCATGCACACATATATGTTAACTCAGTCAATGTCTTTTCCTGTAATTTAACACCCTCCATCCCCAGTCCTAGATGGCGCTTGGAGTGGGAAGAGCGGTCCAGCTTACCAGCACTTTGCTCCATCACTTCTTTCTGACACATGTCTTGAACATTCACGGTGCAATTTACGATGAACTCAGGGGACGAGCAGTCGTTGTTCAGCTGGAATTCTTCACACTGGTAGCACTGAATTTGCAGCGCCAACCCTGTGGGACAGATGAAGTGGGGTCCAGAAGCACTAGTTAAGATCTGGCTTGCAGACAGCACACCCTGGCTGGCCAGTATCACCGTATACTGCCCCAGACAACAAGGGCTTTTGGCTTCTGCATCCTGATCTTCAGCAGGGCAGGCAGTGCCTGAAGCCAGCAGGGGGCGGCGGCACAGGTTTCCCAGGGTTTAGCATGATAAAGCCCTGTCAGAGACCCTAAATTCCGTCTCTAGACACAAACAGCTTCTGTAACACCCCCTCAAGCCTTTCTGCAAGTTGCTGCCAAGGGAAGGGTGAGAGTTCAAACCCTAGATCAAAGTAGCCGAGTACAAACTTCATCTCCAGTCTGAGCCTAATTGCTAATTGGTTACAAATTGGTTAATTACTATTTTGGCACCATTCATAATTGCATTCGCTGACGCCTTTTCGGGCTTATTTATTTAATCTTAGAAGTCAGCACTCATAGGCTGGGGCTCTGAGGCTGCCTAGCGACCACCCTGAAACCTGGAAAGGAGGCACTGGATACCAAGTGTCCCTGAGCCCTCTTAGTCTTTCAATTCAGAGTCTCTTCCTGTGACCAGAGTGGGGCAGCTGCTGAGGGTGGAAGAGTATGTGGCGTGTGTGCGATGTATGTATGTGTGTGTGCGTGCGCCCTCCCCGGGACCGCTACACTACAGCTGTTTTAGACTTGACCTCTCCACCCTCGCCCCCCTAAAAAAAAAAACGTGCCTGTTGGGGGAAAAAAAAAAAAAAACTCTGATCGCTTAGAGTCCATGATCAGGGACTAGGTCTAGCCTTACCATATCTTCCCGATTGCTCTCCTCGGATCTGGGAGCTTCTCTTTGGACTCCATGCCCAGCGCTCACAGTGTGTTCCCTTCTTAGCACCCCACAGATCGTAAGCCAGGCACAGATAACTCAAACTGGGATAGCCGTCCCCCGCCCCCAGCCTCAGGTTGTCCGGTGTGTCGCTCACCTGTACGCGTTGCCGCTCCCTTGGGTGGTCACAAACACTTGGTAACTTGAGATGGTTGGAGGTTTGTCGCCCGGTTTCCCCGCTCGCCGGGCTCAAAGACCCTCCCCACTCCCAGCTCTGCATCCCCGACTGTGCACCCCAAGCAGCTGCAGCTGAGAGTCGCGCCAATCTGCCGCTCTCCTGCAGCGCGGGACTTGGAGAGAGTCCCAGTCTGGCGCCTCTGGGTCTCAGTTTCCAGCACCAAACTCCCGCTGGGTAGCCCCAGCGCAGCAGCGCGGACCCCTGCTGGGCGCCCTGGGGGTTCGAGCAGGGACAGGCGGCGAGAAGGCATGAGCGCGTGTCTGGCCAGGCTGCTGGCCTCTCCATCTTCTTACCTGGAAGCCAGAACAATCCGCAAAAAGTTGCTGCGATGCCGAGAACCCACATCCTCCCGGATCGGCAGGGCCGGGAGCGGGCAGGAGCATCAGAGACCGCGACCGCGGCAGAGGCGACAGCAGCGGAGGCTGTCCGGGCCGCAGCGACTGTAGCTGCCGAGGTTCGCGCTGCTGCTACTGCTGCTGCTGCCCAGGCGACGGCTGCCACCGAGAGGAGCCGCAGGTGTCGCCCGCGGCGCCCGCATCGCCCGCGCCCCGGGCTCCCAGCGACTGGTCCCTGGCACCTCAGGTTCCCTCTCCCCGGGGCGGAGTGCAGCGCCTCTGGAGGAGTTGGCTGCTGAGGCTTGAAGAACTACTGGCGATCCGGAGCACCCAAAAAGTCTCGCCTCTTCTACCCCCACCCCTCCCACTCTGGGTACCACGTGACGGCTGCTGAGTTGTGGTGGGGGTGGAGGGCGGGGAAGGCTGGGACTGTCTCTCTGCTGTTCCCACCCCCTTCTACCACCCTTTTAGCCTACCTCCTCCAGTTCCTTGGAAAAGAGCTCCTGCAGGGCTCGGTAGTAGTCCTTTTCAGGGGTTAGGAATACAGGGGTGACTAGGGCGCAGCAGGTGCTGCCAGGCCAGGACCTGTCCTGTGAGAACTCAGAGATCGAAGTGCTAAGCTGGGGGTCTCCGCACACTGGGATACCCTTCCCTTCCAGGTGCTCTCTTCCCTCCCAGGAGTGCTAAGTAGTACCCCCCCACACACACACACTGGATGACTGGTATAGGATGAAGGGGCATTTCTGTGCACCTGGAAAAGTTGCACGGTCGCTAGTTCCCTGGGGTGTCTGGTGCAGCTGCGCCTCTTCTTGGGAAAAACCCACATCGCAGGTCACCCCGGTCTTCTGGCACAATGCCTGGGAGTTACAATGGTGACCCTACCGCAGGTGGCTCACTTGGCCAGACTATCCTCTCACTGCTGGAGGATGCCCTGGTCGCCTATCCCAGGAAAAAAAAAAAGCTATCCTGGGGAGTGGACACCGGGATCTGTGCGCTGTTCTTTTACTCGCCGAAGCCAACAGCTATGATTATACACTCTTTATAGGGCTCTGCATGCCTAGAGTTTGGTCATCCGCTGCCTCCCTCCTACACCACCCTCCTTTCTGACAATTCCAGGCGACCCACCTTGCATATTCCCGGGACGCCACGGTGCTATTTTTCCTTCCGGGTGGAGCTTTGCAGAAGGCTGTGCTCTGCAAAGAGCTGGCGACCGAAGCTCTTGGTGCCCCCGCCCCCAACCCCACGCGTTTCCATCCCCCACCCCGGATTTGGGAGCCTCAGTGGAAACCCGTGGCTAAGTGTCACCTCTCTTCTGTGGAGCCTCCCAAGGGGAAGTGCTCTCAGGCTGGGCTCTGGTCATTTAGTTTTCTACCCTCTGCAGAGATCGGGTCCATAGCTGCCTCGGGCTCATTCTCCCCATCCCCACCCTCTTCCTTACATTTCTAGCTGGTTAACTCCTTGGGGGGACAGAGATGCTGTGACCCTTACTTGCTTGTCTGCAGTGTGGATCTTATTCCTTCAGGAACCTATCCACAGAGCAAGCTCGGGACGCGATTAAGATAATCATTGAACCAATCGCTCCTTGAATAAAGTTCTTTTCTGCTCTTAGAGGGTGGGAGAGGACTTTTATTCAGAAATAAAATGAAACAAAAGGATTTTTAAGGTCTGAAAGACAAAGATGCTTTACACAATTTGAATTTAAGATAACGAAATTCAAAGACCACAAATTGCACACATAAAATAACACTGGTCATACAATACTCTATAAAGATACGAGTGTGCTAAGGCAACCGCACAAATCCTAAACATAGCTCTACTCTGCCTGGGCTGCAGGCTTCTGTACAGAAGGAATTATAAATAGTTCACGTCTAGAAAAAATACACATAACCTTTAAAATAGAATTTATCCTCACATATGAACAGTCTTTAATAGAAAAGGATATTAAAAAGTAAGAAATGTTCATAGCACCAACCATTCATTTTTTTATAAAGTGAATATGACAAATAGAGTACCCAGATTTTAATAAAGAAAAAGCAGGGAGATAAAAAAAAATCAACAAACACTCAGAATTGTAGAGAAGTACAGTGGAGAGGCTGGAGAGGCTGGGGCGAAGCCTGCTGAGATTCGCTCCGTTCTGCATTAGCAGACGCGCTGCAGATGCCACCCATGTCATTGCTAAAGTCTTTCCAGTGACGATTTGGACATTGGACCACCATTCAGATTTTCGGGGGCAGCGATGACCTCAATCCTCTGGCTTTTCTGCAGGCCCCACGTTTAGATCGACACAGTGTATATGCAAATAATTTGAAGACCGGGGTGATTAACTTCACAAAATCCTTAGTTGGAGTTATTTTTTTAAAAATATATTATCAACTTCTAAAACTTAATACATCATTTCAAGAGCATGGCGCCAACACTTTTTATTGCTATCTTTCTCCACCTACAAATATAATTTCTCTTTCCCCCAAATTTACAGCTTTTATACAAATACTCAAAAAAAGTGCAAACGTTGAGAATTTTCTATCATATTTTGCTTTTAATCCTCAGGAAACACAGTAAGTAGCGGCGATCTCTATCAGTCCACTAGGGGAGTAAACTCTGGTGCATCGGCTGCTGTCATTTCTGGAGTTAGTGCTCCCCATATTCCGCTCCGTGTCTGTTTTCCTAGTGTACAGAGCCCAGGGATCACTGATGGGTGCTCCCCTATGCATCATGGGAAGCCTGACTTGTGCAAGAAGAGAAGCTGTCATACAGAGAGTCACTCAGAGACTCCACATTGTCCATGCCAGGCCTCGCCGAGTTACTGGACGACACATCTATCTTTTTTCCTTTCTCTTCCTTTTGTCCTTTAACCTTGCTTGGAGACTTCTCTGGTTCTAATAAAATCACAGTATTGCTGTTAAATTTATTGAACGACTCCAGGGAAATTTCAGATAATCTATTCTCAGGATCTTCCTTTGTTTCTTCGACTTGTTTCAGCTCCTGCAATAAAAAGGAGGAAAATATTAGAAACATAATTCTTTGGAAAAAATCAATTTATCCTATCTGATATTCAATTATTGTCTGAATAAAGTACAGTTTAAAGGGGTAGAGGGAACCTACAAGTCCTTAACAATCTTTCAGTGTAATTAAATGCAATAATAAAGCTAATTTTAGGGATAAATCAAGACTTTAATCATTTTACTGAGATAAATAGATCTCAATTTGCAAACCAGTTAAGTGCCACTTAATTCATTTTAAATGGATCCATTTGAAATTTGCTCAGGTAAAGTGTCGTATTTTTCTTTATCAAAGGTTCAAAGCCCTCTGTTTTCTTAATAAATATTCCTTGCACTTTTTCTAAAAGGGATACAGATTGAGTTTCAGCCAGAAGTTACAGTCATTCGGGGGGTAAAAAGGCATAAAATCCCTTAAATTGCCATAAAATTTAAGAACATATTAAGCTTGTTAAGAATATTGTCATGTTTGAATTTTGTCCCTTGTAGGCACCAAAGATATTTGAAGGAGTGCACCAAGTGACTGAAGATTCCAGAATGGCTAGAGGCAAAAAAAAAAAAAAAAACAAGAAACAGGTCTACAGTTTAGTACCTTCCCCTTCCAGAAGATTCTAGCCATACCTTTTCCTGGGTATTTACGAAATGTTCTTAATACCCCCAAGGACTCCATAAAATACTGCAGTTATACTAGGCAATCTTTGAAGGTTCCTTGTAAGCATGAGTGTGTTCAGGGCGGGGTGAGGACAAAAGGAGGCAGGGACACCAGAGGCAACGAGAAGAGTGCAAGTGGCCAAGTTGCTAAAGCACTTTCCATCAACTTTTCTACCGTGAGGCAAGAATCCCACCAACCACAAGGAAAAGCTGCAAAGGGGAGTTTAATATATGATAGCATCTTTATTAAAATATATGATGTCTCTCAGAGACACTTAACAGATTCTTTTAGCCGTTTCATGGCTACAAGGTAAGATTTCATTTTGCTTTAGCTTTTTGGCCTTATATTACTTTACAAGTTTTATTTCATTTTAGTTGATATATAATAATCTTACTTATACCCAGCACACAGTGTATTTTTTTTTACACTTGTATAGGATGTGTGATAAATAGTCCAATCATGGTGTCTTGGGCTGGGGAGATGGCCAACTCAGTGTATTACTTCCTTGCAAGCATAAGGACCTGCGTTTGATCCTCAGAACTAACCTATAAGAAATGGATGTGGGGGCACACACTAGTAATCTAAGTGGAAGCAGAGAAAGGATGCTCTCCGAGCTCCATAGTCAGCCAGCCCAGCCTACTTGGTGAGTCCCAGGCCAGTGAGAGCCTGTGTTTAGAGATAAACATACCCCGAATCAAAAGCAACCCAAACAAGGACAGTGCCAGAGGAACAACTCTAGGTTGTCTTCCGGCATTTACATGCACAAAGGTGTACCTGTACACACAGGAACATCACACACACACACACACACACACACACACACACACACACACACGATACTTAGTATGCCCATCAACTCAAACTTTAGTCACTGTAGCAAGAAGTCAAAACCCTTTTCTATAGCTATTTGGAAACACACAATACTGCTAACAAAACTCACTTTTCTAGGAACACAAGATCAGAAACAAGGCTTAGCCTGATAATCACTTGGATGTGGCTTCCCTGCACAGCAGAGAGAGAGAATTCTGAAGTCAGTTTGGCTAAATATGGGGCTTTTATTCTTTCTGTTTGTTGGACCTATCCCCTTACATGAAAAAAAAAAAAAAGGACACAAATATCATGATTTTTTTAAAAAAAATTTTAACCAAATCTTCTATTTCAATGATTTGCCAAACCATTTTGAATACATGCAGTTCTTTCTACCGTCCAGCCTATGCCCCATACAATTATACTAGACTTACAAATGCCACGAGGAAACTGATGGAGGCCGACAAATTCAGTCAAGACCTGTAGACTCTTAAATGCTAAGTGCCCAACAGGAAAAGAAAAGAGAGATGTAAGTGGATGTCTTTAGTGTTCCAAGGGCCAGTGCTTGGGGTTTCTCTGTAATGGAGAGCAGGGTCATTTCATGGGGAGATCTGGGCATCTGCCCTGAATTAGTGCTTATTTAATGACTCAGTGTGCTGAAGTATTATTTGTAGAACAGGTTTTCAATCTTAAGTGGTTGCCTGGAAACCATGGTGAGGGGCTGATCCACAGGCAATGATTCCATATTCAGGAAGAACTCAAGCAAGTGCTTTTTCATGTTCTGCCAAATCTTAAGCCTTTGATCCCTGCCCCCTACATTACATGGCACCATATTAGCAAT